AGTTTTCTCAAAGTAAAAATGCAGATGAAAGGTTGCTACTTCCACTCGCTGCTAAATTCGAAATGCAATTGCGACTGTCGAACACCCGTGATCTGAAATTTATTACTATTCCTCAGAGTACCAGTTATTACTCAGGATGTTGACATAGGGATGTTTTGAGTACGGTGCCTCATAATATCAAACCTTCTTTGCTATCGTGCAGTGTGACTAGATCTCAATGTCAAACCTGGCGACTTCTCACACACGCGTGAAGATGAATGTAGCACGGAAAGGTAGTCAAAGCCGTTTTTTAATCACAACTTTTTAACAGAAAGACACGGACTTACGTGCGTATAAAAGCACCGAATATTTGCGGTGAGAACTTAAAGGTAATTTGACAACACATTCAAACGGTAAAGATGTACTGCTAGACTACTCAATGTAATTTAATCTCACAGGATGAATTAGAAACACTGGCGATATACTAACTAGCAGACGGCCAGAATGCATAGCCGCTACTAAGATTAAAAGCTAGGGAACAAAACAGCAAACGTGCGCTTCGCTAGCGAAATCACGCTCTGTCTCACCTTTTCGTTTCAATATGTGATTTTAAAAGGATAATTTTAAGTAGTCGGAACATCGTCTCTTACTTTCCAGACGTAAGATCTGGATAAATACCAATAACAGATAAAGATAAGAAAAAATTACAACCAATTAAACTTTGTTGCATCTCATTTAATAACTACTGAGCTTTTCCATGTGTAGATAAAATCCTGTGATATAATGAAAGCAACAGACTTGGGAAATAGTCATTGTTGGAAGACACAAAAAATTCTTGGCAGATACATTAAATCATAAACAGAGACTTTCAGCATTCGAGTAGCTATCATCAGCAGCGTGCTTGGAAACAAATGCAAAGACATTATATAGGTGTTCTGTCATTAAATACAGAATATGTATTAAACTGAAGAAAAACCAGTAGAAGGAGGAAATGCCAAGTATTTGGGTGCATTATGAGTTTGAATTAAGAAAAAATGAGGAAGTAATGAATTACTTCTTGATTTTGTAGCCAAGCTAAATCATGCTCGTTTCATTGTTTAAATCTAGTACATTTTTTATGTTTCAAATTAGAGTGATTAGATTCCCACAAATCATTCCTAAAATTTCGTTGTTTTAGTTGAGAAGATTTACAGATTGTGGTTCAAGACAAAGAATATATTTTTGTACAATGTTTCAATATTACATTTTGAATTTTCGTTGAATATCCTGACTTCAATTATAAATATTTTTTGATCGCGTCGAATATATATCATGTTTTAGGTGAAGTCAACTGGTTTCAGAAATGTGTTAAAAACATATTCGCAACGTCCATAAGATGGACTAAGACGTTTTAATAACTACCAAGTTTATTTTGCTTTTCACTTATTCTACAGCATCTTAGGGAAATCTTATTTTCTTCCTCCTTTCAGCATGCCTTCGTGGTGTAACTGCAGTACACTCGGCGCGTATTCAAAAAGTCCAGGTCCGAGTCCCGGTGACGGCATTCCACATTGTTCACGTCTTCTGCTTCAAAAAACATAATGACTCTACACATGACGCCCGAACTAAAAGGTGGTAGAGAATAACTCGTCACCACCGGAATTCGGCGGTCCCCAGATTCCCAGTCGGCCTTTGAAAGTTAGAGTATATAAAATCAGTCTGAACACCTAGCAATCACCGGACCACGGAGTATATAAGGTATTTTATTCTTCCTTTCAGCATGCTTTTGTGCTGTAAAAGTAGCATACTCGGTGTGTAAGAATTGTAAGAATTGGAGGCTCCCTTCAGCCCACCTGGACACAAGTGTCCCCATAGCTCAAAAGAAGGGGCCCCGTATCTCCACAAACGAGGGCAGCCAGTAACCCAGCCACCCCAAACAACAAACAAAAGTACTAAATCAAAACTAAATAAGCACATCTAACACAATATTACAGACTAACAAACAAACAAAAAAAAATCCATAAACACAAATTCACAACACAGAACACCACAGATATCTAAAACCCATACAAACACAAAGTTCAATTTTAACAGAAGATTCCTACCAGCGCCCTATTTTCATTCATAAACTTCATTAGAGCAATAGAATATGATTTAAAAACTTTAAAATTAATGACACTTACATTAAAATCAATAATGTTAAAAATCTGTCTAATAGGGGCTGTTAAACTACAATCAACCACGAAATGCCTAGCATCACCATCAACCTCACAACTATTACGTAATTTATTTTTCTGCAGTTTAAATCGGTTGAAATAGAACGGAAACCTACCATGTCCAGTTAAAACCTGATTAACATCAATGTTGTTCATACATTTAATTTTATTTGTGATTTTAATTAGTTCCATAAATCCTTTAGGTTGAAGAGAACCACTGTATTTTCCATTTGTGAACGTAATATTTTTTCATTCTTCGAATTGCATTTCTCTTCGAACCTGTTACTTCAATATTCATTGCACTGACATTTGAGACCGCCTGCTTGGCCAGGCTGTCGGCCCTCTCATTACCAATAAAGCCTATATGGGCTTTAACCCAATGTAGCTTAATATATAAATATGAACTCAAAGTTTCTAAATGACTCTTAATTTCGACAATTAATGGATTGAAATTGTCTGGGCGGGAGAGCGCATGGAGAAGTGACAGGCAGTCAGTGTAAATATTTACAGACGTGGGTATAAACAAGGTATTTTTAATCCATAATAAGGCTTGTTTAGACGCTTCACTTTCAGCCTGGAAAACTGAATTATATATATTCAACTTAAACATTATATAATCCACCTCAGTTCCATAGTAAAAACACACAAAAGCAGCTTCCTACGCTCCCTCCGACCCCAGAACCATCTGTATAAATATCAAACACATCAACAGTTGGATTACATTTATCAAAAACAAAACCAATTCTATTGGAAGGATGTATTAAATGAATATTAAATTTTTCAAAAACATTCTTTGTAATTAAATAATCTTCATACATTTTCATTTCCATTCGTCCAGTTCTAAATAAAAATTTCTCATAAAAAATTCGTATAAAATTGAGAGAGGAGGCAGCCCAGCCAACACAAAGACGGCCTCGGTAGGCACTCCCCAAGCTCTCTGAATACTGTCTAACTTCATCCGTAATCTAACCAGTTCCCCTGCCCTGGATCCCCAGGCTCCAATTCCATACATGATGATTGGAAGCACTACATTTAAGTAAATCTTCTTCAGAGTGGAGGATTTCAAGGCTAAAATCTCAGCTGAAAAGGTTCTTCTATAATTTAATAAAATTCCATACATGATGATTGGAAGCACTACATTTAAGTAAATCTTCTTCAGAGTGGAGGATTTCAAGGCTAAAATCTCAGCTGAAAAGGTTCTTCTATAATTTAATAAAATCAGATCAGTTCGTCTTTGTACCAACTTAAAATGTTCTATAAAATTTAATTTGTTCTCAATGATAACGCCAAGATATTTCATATTATCTACAAATTTGATTCTTTTGCCTTGATATTTCAAATTTGGTGGTCTTGTCTTTTCACCTCCTCTGGGAAAATACAATGCACATGTTTTTTCAATATTAAATTGCAATTTTTCTTTCTTTTGCCAATCACTTAGTATTACAGCAGTTTCATCAAATAATATTTTCCATTTTTTCAAGAGAATCGTTTTCATAAGAATCTAATACATCAGCATATGCAATTAATTCCACATTTTGAGGAAACTTCTGCTTCAGCAAGTTATCCACAATAATGTTCCAGTGCAGGGGAGCACTGCAGGAGCCCTGAGGGCATCCTTTATAAATATTCATTACTAAGTCTTTACTCTTATCCTCAAAACAATTAAAAACAATTTTCCTATTACAAAAATAACTTTTAAATAAATAAAGCAAGTTTCTAGGTATTTTTAAATCAATTAAACCATGCAACAAGGAAGACCAATCAACAGAGTCAAATGCAGCTGAAATGTCTAGAGAAATCAAAGCTACGTGTTGCATACTCGGTGTGTATCCGATAGGCGGTGGTTCGAATTCCGGCGACGGCGTTGCGCATTTCTTATGTCTCCTGTGCAGAAAATCCTATGACTTTTGAACCTATTGTATCAGAAGCGCATGTTATGAAAAATATCAGAAATAGCACTCTACAGGACAATCTACAATATTTTGGAGAGCAAGTATGTGTATGCCCATTTCAAGCTAAATGTATTGAAAACGACTCTTGCAATCAAACTTGTTGGTGACCTGCAGGCCAAAAGCTGAAGAAAATTAAACGGGGTATGTAAACACCCTAATACATCTGGTTAATTCATTTTGCAGTAGAAGATAGGAGTTGTAAATTAAAAATATGGTTAATTCCCATTAAACTGCTACATATTTCCTCCCTGGCAGCATATTTGATGATTAGAGTAATTGCAAAGATTTCTCTCGTCACGAAACTCTGCTGTAGTTGATGAGAATATAACATAACATAATAAATGCAGCATGCTTTTTCGAAAACCGTCAGATAGGTTCGAAAATTTTATTTTGAAAATCCATCAGGAATTTTCGTAGAAGGGAAAACTACAGTGAAAATATTTTGAATAAGCATTCGTTTTCTTCTTCTTTCTTCTTGCATTCATTTTTTAAAAACATCATAAGGTTTGGCCATTTTTTATGTATTGTGTATGTATTTAATCGTATTTCACTATTATTCTGAGGTTGCAGCTCTCTAACGTATTTTTTCTCTTCTTTCCGAATGCCTTCGTGGTGTAATTGGAAGCATACTCGACGCGTATTCGAGAGGTCTAGGGTTCGAGTCTCTCTGAAGGCAATGCATATTTTTACGTCTCCTTCATCAAAAATTCTAATGTCTCTACAACGTTATGTTCTGTGCTCTGCTAATAAATGATTTTAGAACTATCCAGCATTAGCATTTATAGAAGGACATTTAGAACTTTTATTATTTGTGCATATCACTTATTCTCTACTTCAGCCATTTTGGCAGATGAATTTTTAATATTCTGAAAAGTACTGTTGTTTCTTGTGGTTACCTTCCTGTCGTCATTGACATCACTATCACTACCCAGGACATCGCCAACAATGTCCATGACTGGCAGGTGGCCGAAGACGAAAGTTGTTCGGACCACCGATATATTTACCGATATATAGAAGGTGATACGAGCATTAGCATACTCAGGAGATTTAAGTTACCAAAGAATAGAATACAGGCACTCACAAGGGCCTTTTCGCAGGCGCTTCAACAAAAGGAGCAAGCGTTGGATTTATGCAATAATCAGAATGACCTTAATGACCATACAGAACAACTTCTAGACACCATCCGATGCATATGTGATCAATACCTGCCCACCAGGACTGCAAAACGACTACAGGGTATTGCGTGGTGGACGAAAGAACTGCGCCAACAACGGCAGAAGTGCAGGGCGTTAAGACGTCGACTACGCTCTACGACAGACGAGGAAGCAAAGATTACAATCCTCGCAGCATTCAGAAAGGAAAGAGCAGCGTACAAGATTAACCTCCTAAAGGCGAAGATCGCCAGCTGGCGGAAGTTCTGTACGGAGAACTCAAATCCATATGGAATACTGCACAAACTAGCAACCTCCAAAGTCTTCAAGCCGGATCATCTGTACGCCGAGACCACAAATCCACCCTCCACCGGCAACATAGCAGAAGATACTGCTACCACATATCTGAATGCAGCCTTCAGGGAAGATAACCCAGAGGATGACACGCCACAACAAAGACTAACAAGAGACTGTCAAAACGTCCCAGATACCCCGGATGATATCCCTTTCGGATATCATCCGGGGTAACGGAGGAGATTAAGCAAGTCTTCAAATATCTTCCGCTCAAGAAAGCGCCAGGCCCTGACGGACTGGACTATGCAATCATCAGGGTCGCATACACTGCCTGCCCAACATACTTCAAGGCCTTCTTTAATAAATTGCTAAGACAGCAGATATTTCCATCGGCCTTCAAAAAGGGCCAAGTCGTATTCTTTCTTAAAAAGAATAAATCACCAGAAGACCCCAGCTCCTACAGACCGATATGTTTATTGTCTGCGCTGGGGAAGGTTTACGAGAAACTTCTGGTGAATAGGCTAAAGTACCACCTTCACCGTACCAAATTCCTTAGCAATAACCAATATGGGTTCAGAACTGGCCTCTCTACAGTACACGCTCTAGATAAGATCAGAAGCCACATTAACGATAATAGAGCCAATGACCGGCACACGGCATTTATATCACTAGATCTTCAGAATGCCTTTGACTCCCTCTGGTGGCTTGCAATCAAGCAGGCCCTCAGGGAGGCAAAGTACCCCAGGAATCTATATAACATCTTCAACGATTATCTGGACTCAAGAAGTCTCATAATCGCAAACAATAGTGGTGTCTATACAAAGAAGCAGGAGAAGGGCTGCCCACAAGGCTCTTGCGCGGGGCCCCTGCTTTGGATAATTACGTTCAATGCGCTACTGCAACTCAATTGGCCTGACCACACCAAAGTAGGGGCGTATGCCGATGATGCGGCACTGCTAGTTACTGGCCGTACGCGAGACGAATTGGAGAGGAACGGCTCCGCCACTTGCTCCAAATTCTATGACACGTGCCAAAAGCTGAAACTCGTTATCTCAGCCCAGAAATCTACGGCCATGGTCATACCGCGTCCAGGTACAAACCCCACAAGACGACCTTGTATTAAGCTAATGGGCAGAAACTTGAAAATCACCAAAACGTTGAAATACCTTGGAGTCACGTGGGACCAAGGCTTGACCTGGCTACCACATCTACAAGAAGTCAAAGTCAGAACAGCCAACATTGCAAAGAAAGCCAGGCAGTTTCGGGGACAAAACTGGGGGCAGAACATTCAAAAACTGCTCTACTTGACGGTTGCAGAAAGGATTGTACTCTATGCCTCAGCTATCTGGGCACTACCAATGGGCAGCCGTAAAATAAAAGCCCTGTCAACAATACAAAAACCTTTTGCTCTCAACATTAGCAAGGCATATAGAACAACCGCGACAAATGCAGCACTTGTGCTTACCGGGCTCACACCCCTTCACATCAGGGCCAAGTTAGAAGCAATATATGAGCGGGTAATAAGATTAAAGGAGAATGCTGCACTCGGCACCACACAGTCTTCAGCACGCTGCAGTACGAAACACCAGGCAGCACACAGCACGTGCACCCAGCACATAAAAACTCGGGCATACACGTCAAAATAGCAAAGAGATCTACGCCGCGAATAGAGGATGTACCAGTCGCCTCGCAATTCTACACAGATGGCTCCAAACATGATAACGGAGTGGGTTGTGCTTATGCTTATTATGAGCATGGTACACTTCACAGTCAATGGAAAGGCCATCTTGCAGCTCACAATAGTATCTTCCAGGCGGAGGCCATAGCAATTGAAGCGGCAATACAGTACGCACATGACATACAACTTGCACGAACAGAAATCTGCACAGACAGCATGTCAGTGCTGCAGGCATTAAAGAATCATCATCACACATCTCCCATAACCCTGCAAATCCAACAGACATTGCATAGCAACCAGCAATCTAACATCAAGCTAAAATGGGTAAGAGGCCACTCTGGGATCGCAGGCAATGAGATGGCAGATCAATTGGCCAATGAGGCAGCAATCAACAATAATGCACAGGCTGTCTCAGCACTAATCCCGCCGTCATTTTTAAAAAGACAACTAAGAGACATAGGGAATAAACAATGGCAACACGAATGGGAGAATGGAGATACCGGCAGAAGGACTTTCGAATTCTACCCTGTAGTAGATAAAAAACGCTTACAGGCCATACCCCCTTTAGTAAACTATATCACGGGGCATGGCCCTTTTCCCACCTTCTTTTATAAGCGTGCTATCTCCATGACAGAAGCGTGTGTGGGGGGGGGAAATTGGCTCCCCCGACCACTACGTGTTCAACTGTAGCCTCACGACGAGCCATCACCTACCATATCCCACTACGGATATAGTACCTTACAAGAGGTTCATCATCAAACACGCACCTGCGATAAGAAATATATGTAAAATTATACAGCAGCTGAGCGCCCTAGGGCAGGATGTCTGCCAACCAACATAGGAATAATAGCATACACAGCGTCCATGTCTCTATTGTAATTTAGCAGTAATTTAATTCTATGTCTCTATTGTAATTTAGCAGGTGTTATGTCTAAAATTGTAAATATGTAAGTGTATAAGTAACTGTGTAATGTAAGTAATGTAAGTAATAGTGTAATGTAAATAATTTAATCAATGAGTGTAATACGTCGTACTATGTGTACTTTTAACATAACGTAATCGGTAATGTAGTCATTAGCGCGTGTAACGCGTGCCCCATGTGTATTATTTTAAGTAACGCATATATGATTATAAGGCAAAGTATGTGCCTATCTTGTTATATAGCATAATGTCATTTAAGAAGTAATAGCAATAATGTAAACTATAAGTAATTCAGTTATAAAGTAACTTAGCAAGTTGTTCGCAATACAATTAGCTTAACGTAGTATACAGTCAGGTTATAACTCTAATAAGTGTAGATTAATGTCATGCATTATGTATGTGTAGTCTAATGTCATGTGAAGTGTAAAGTATGTATGTACTAATTCATGCAAGTATTATGTATAAGTTTAATGTCATGTCATATATCATGTATGTAATGTTATGTTTCATGTATGCATTATGGCCTATGAACACCCAGGTCAACCATTAACATAAGAATCTGTACAGAACCAATGTCAAACTGGAATAGCCCCTGTATGGCCATGTAAACTTTTTCATGAAGGCTCAGTACCTCCTGGTGCGCCCTTGTGGGACCTCAGGGAGTTCTTGTATCTATATAGGGGAGGGCGTGGGACATATGCCTGTTTACCTCCGTTAAACACCAGGCGTCCCCGTCCTCCGTCACCTGTCACCTGTCGTCATTGACAAGCGCTCCAGCCGATATAGTGGTTTGTGCCGCTGAATGATGAGCCCTGGCTCCAATCATAGAGAAGCAATGGATGCTTAGCGTATAGCACCCGTGCGGCAAAGAGGCACTCAAAATATACCGCCAGCCGAAAGTCCTCTCGAGGTGGTCATAGAGAAAAGGGTTGGAAGTCGGATAGCCCACGAAGTGTTTTCCCCCCAAAATGGTTCGAAACTGCACATTTACTGCGATGGGCCTATACCTGTACGAGCAAAGGCGAATCTGGTGCCCTACCCACTTCTACCTGTTCTTATCGTAATTGACATCGAGGGTGAGAAATTTTTCAAGCCTTCATCATTTTCAGCTTTAAGGCTAGAAGCGCACTTGGGACAGTTTTAAAATCCTTGCAAAGTTTTTGTGCAGACCAGTCTCGTTATTAACGCATCTTCTTGTCAGAGGCATATAAAAATATTAAGCACTTATTAAATATTATCGCATACACCATTGTGAAAATAATGCTGTGATTATGCTGAAATAAGATCAACAAAACTGCAGTCAGCTATGAAATTTTTGCTTTTATGTGTTAATTATTACGCTGAATGCCTTGAGTTTTTTTACTAATAAAGAGTAATAGTTTATACCTATAGCATTCACTGATGCGGTCCCTAAATATTCGACTGATCTGCGATTCAATTGATTCAATCAAATTACAAATATAGTGCGAGTAGCAAATAAATTATTTAATGGTAAATCAGTAGTTAAACGTAATGGACTGTATATAGAATTCATAACATACTATTACACCAAAAATTTTCAAATCAGTATAGTAAAATATATTATTTGAGGTCTCATAAACGTTATTAAAGGATATAAGTAAGTTATATAAGAAGTGCCTCTTTATCAAGTTTTGCAAGGTTCTTTATCAAGTTATTAGGTGATTTTTTTCAAGCAGGAACGTGAAAATTGTGCAATGCCCTCACCGGGACTCGAACCTGGACCTCTCGAATATGCCTCGAGTGTGCTACCATTACACCACTAAGGCATACTGGAAGGAGGGAGAAAATACTTATATACTCCCCCCTTTTAATGGGCGACTGGGTATTAGAGGACCTAATCGCCAAATCCTGGTGGTGAAGCATCATCATGCACCACCTTTTCGGTTCGTGCTTCACTTAGAGTCATTAGACCTTTTTGATGCATCAGACGTAAAAAATAAGCAGTACCCTCGCTGGGACTCTAACCGGCACCTCTTGAATACACGCTAATCGTACTACAGTTACACCACGAAGGCGTGCTGGAAGGAGGGAGAAGATACTTTGTAAATTTAAAGATGAATGATGCTTAACAAACTGTATTTTATTGCCTATGTGATGCGCCGAATTCTAGAAACTACTGTTCTTTGAATAAATGTGTAGTACACTTTAAGTTTATCTAGAAAAAATATGCTACCTGAAAAGATCTACCAGTGATATGATTAGATAATATCCTCACAAAGAAAATGAATACCTCATCTGCATCAATATTCAGTAGAAAGATTATAGCAAATATGAAAGTATGACATATTTCCCCCTTTTTTCAGCATACAGGAATGATAAGAAACAGCAAAGGTGAAAAATATGAGCTATTTTATCATCAGCTATCATCAATAACCGTGATGAAAAAACATCTTGTAGAGAAACTTGGACATCTTGTAGAGAAACTATGAGAATAGTGGCTAACCATCAACGATTAGAGTTATTGGCAAGCTTAAGAGTAAGGAGCGCCAGGAAAAGCAAAGCAAACAGAATAAACTAAAACTGCCTCTTTCAAATGCAAGGCTTTCATGTTAATCAAAAATTTCATTCTGTATTAGTTGTGTTAATTATTATATTAGTAAGATATAATTATTTTAGTAACAAGGATAAATTTATATTTTTCATGGAATAATTTCTAGTATGATTTCTACCAAATTTTTATTTAACTATGCTTAGTAGAATTTACGAAAATGTTATTAGAAGGTAAGGAATTCAGTTCGATGTCTGCTTAAATATTTGAAGCAGAAAACATATAGCTATACGCTATTTTCACAATTAACAACAATGGGAAAGTAGCTTCTCGTGAGTTCAGCGTGATAGGTCAAAGGAGTAACTGCTAATTACAGAACATGCATATCTAATCAAAATCGAAGGGAATTGAAAATACATTAATGTTCATTGTAAAAAAAGGTTTTATTTTCATTACATGCCACTTAGGAATGAGGTAAAAATGTTTAATTCATTTAATGTAAAAATGTTTAATTCAAATTATTAATAGGCATTTAAGATTATGTCAAAAGGATTAGTCTCTAAAGAAGTAACAAAAAGTTCCCTTCTTTGCATAAATTCTTATTTCGTTTATTGAACAAGATAATATCTAACCTAATGAATGTCCTCCAGCGGCAGAGCGGTAAAGTCGCTGAACACTGGTAGTTCGGTTCGGGGTTCAAATTACTGAGAATGGTATTTCTGCATCGGATTTGCGTGATTTTCCCCCATTCGTGTAACGTGTATACGAGCTAGTTTCCCTTAGAATGCCCTCCAGGATGGCATCCGTTCCCTTAAACAGATATCCCTCGAGCGTTTTGCCATAATTAAATAAACCAAAGCAAAACAAACCTAGTGATGTTAAAGACCAGTGGACAATCGCAATAGAAAAGAGATCCAAACATGTACAAAATTAAGAAAAGCGTACGTTTACTTTGCGTTAAGATGGGGAGGACTTTTTAAGGGAAACTGACTCGTTGTTTGTGACACTTGCACATGTGGAAAACCACGAAAACGCCCATGCAGCAAGCCTGTCCGAACTTCGGACCGAACTATTAGTGTTCAGTGACTTTACCGCCTTAGGCCGACGTTTGACAACCAAGGTTATTTGCTGTCTTGACGGACACTGAAGTCTCGCGGCGTCGCACATCTGATTTATACTAACAGATGTCGCCAAGACAGGGAAGCTTCTGATCCAGGCTAGAAGCCTATATATGATTATTATTATAATCCTGGATCCTATCTAACAGTGCGATGTAGAGACCCAAAACAGTCCGAGATAGACCTGCCGAATCTGAACGAACCGGCAAACTAGTCCTGTGAAAAGAATTTAGTTCCCACAAGAGCCGAATCTGTCTACCATGAATGATACCGTGGGAATCTTGAAAATTAAGAAAAGCAGCAATGTAATTATTTAGAATGACTAAATAGCATTTCGAGATGCAGATGTTGTGACGTCACGGTCATCAGCAGCGGCACATAAGAAATGAGTACGTCATCTATCGTTGTTATTGTAGCCATCCGGTTAAAATATCGAATACATTGTATGCTTATACTATGTAGGTGGTTTACCCCTCATATGTAGCATGAATACGAGCTAGTTTCCCTACATAGTATACCACGAAGACATCTTTCCCAAAGGCAGATAGCAAAAGCAGATAGATTTCCAATCTTATATTCAGGCCCATATTTTTTAGGCCAAAATTCAAAACAGAGTGTATATTCGATTATCCGGAGAAATAAGTCATGTATAATTAAAAAATATAGTTAATTCAAATTATCAGTTTTCAGGCATACTGTACCTGTTTGTTTCTTAAAAATCAGTAATTTTATTTTGCTTTTCAGAACGTTTAAATATTTGTTGAATTCGCATTTTTCGAAGTGCTATTTTATCATTGCATTCTAATTCTCCTTGACTGACGAAGTCCAACAGAGTTCCAACGTATGTCGTTGCTGCCTCGAGACTAATGTAACTCGGGACTATTTCGAGTGGTATTCTCTACATCTTTGGTTATGATATTTGAAACGTTATCCACATCACTCAAGCAATGAAGGCCCGTTTGGTCGAATGACCAACGAACTATTCCTTAATGTTTTTCCCAATGAATGTTTTCAGTTATTGCTCCTACGTCTTCCCAATTACATAAATCTGTACATGCAGAACGAATTGTATGAGCTAATCGTTAAAACTAAACCTAAAGACGCAACTCAGCTGGTTTTAGAGAATGCTCAGACTTGCGGGTATATGTTTTTTACACATTCTCGTACATGCCATTGCGTGCATGCTTGGGCATCGCCACGCTTAGATAATCAGCAAACCGGGTAATCCGCACCCGTATAACTGACAGCACATTAAATTTTAAAAATCAAGAGATGTCTATATATTGATTCAAAATACACATTATATAGTATTCCTTCCGAAAATGAAATATTACTTGAATGTTTAATTGTCTTTACAAAATTCTTTGAATAATTGTATTCCTTTATATGTGTTTTATGCGCTTAAATGTGCTTTATGTGTTTGTATGTGCTTTATGTGTTTATATGTGCTTTATGTGTTTATATGTGCTTTATGTGTTTATATGTGCTTTATGTATTTGTCAGTGTTGGTACACATATATATGTACATTTTCTGTTTAAATGTCATTTTAGTATCATGAAGCTGTCCCCCCAATCGCCAAATGTAACTCAGTCATCAGCCCTTGTTTGACAATATAACCAAATAATATTCAAAATGACTCCCGATTAGACGTCTCGCAGCCTCAAAGGAGATGCCATTTTTGCAGATAGTGGCGGACCAGTTTACCAGTGTTACTCAACAGGTGTCCCTGTCTTCAGTCACCTCTGCTGAAAATAAGATGCTTAGTCTAGGCAGCTCAAAATATCCCTGAAAACTCTCCCCGCCATCGAAAGAATTAGCAGTGAGTTTACAATAGTCAATAGAGGCCACCAAAAGATTCAAAGATTGCCATTTAGTTCAATAAATGTTATTTCTTGTTGAGCCATGTAATTGGCTGCATATGTGAATATTGTTTACCAGAATGTTGTTATCTACGTTTATTGACACTAAATTGCATCGTGAGACACATTTTATTAAATTGTGATGTTTACTTTGATAGAGATCACAAGAAATGTCTGACTAAGCTCCACACCAGCTTTAACTGAAATTATAACCAAAAGAGAGAATCAAAACGTCCCCTGCTCCCTCTGATTCTGTCATCAACTTTCAGATACAAATTTTCATCGCTTCCATTCAATTTTTAGTGCTCCCGTATTAGCTGTGTACCAATTAAGCACAATTTCTAAATTCAGCAACGACTTTTAATACCGATCACGGTATTCACCTTCGAATCCCTTGTTTGGTATTCGAAACTCAATTTTAGTCTTCGACTTTCAACCCCCGCAAATCGCCTTAAATTTTAGTCTTTCAACCCCCGCAATCCGCCTTATAATTCAAAACGGTCGCTGTAAAATAAAACAAAAAGTTGGTGAATATAATCCAATATTTAGTACTAAAAGTATTCCCCTTGCAGCAGAATAATATTTCGTTATATTGCCTGAATTATTCAAAACTGGTTCAGGGAACATGAGAAAGAATTTCATATTTTACCTTGATATCCAAATCCATAAATATCTAATCAAGTACCTGTAGAATGCATTGGATAAATATTTCCGATCTGATGGACTCTTCAACGGTGTATTTTGAGATTTAAAAGAATTTTCCATTAAACAGTTATTATCAGATGTCCGTTATTAAACCAGCATGTTGATTATAATGAACACTCCCATTCTTTCGAAAAGCTATTGGAAAATGCTTCAATTGTTTGAAACGGGGAAACATTATTTCCTAAACACTTTCAAAGTGATATTCATTGGAATGTACATATTCTTTTTGTATCAATCATAGACTTGTCGTTATCTGATTTTGGATAGCTTGAATTGTCTGTAAACGTTAACCACATGCAATCCCTTTGATAACAGAGAACAGAAATGTCGGAAGGAGAGTAATCTAGCAAATCAGGTGGTTGTAGTAATAGCGCTTCGTTTCTGATGGCAAAATTCCAAGCATGCAATTTTACACAAATACAAAAAGAGAAATACTGCCAAATAGTCGAGAAATGTTTTAATTCCGTTTGTATAAAAACATAAATGGTGTCTTTTTTGGATGGTATGACTAAATATAGTTCTTCATTAACTGTTATATCAATGTCTTCGAACAGAAAATTTCAGTCGTTGGAAATTTCATGTACGTGAGATGAATTTTCCGCGAACATTTTCAGTAATAGATTATACACAAGATTTTTAACCTTAACCCATTAGCCGCTGGTGTCGCGTTGACGCAACGATCAAAATAAATGCGTATATTAATATACCTACCTAAGATATTTTATACCAGCAGATGATTTTGTGTAGGGAAAATTATGAAGATTATTTCTGTAAAAAAATATTTGCCTTCAACAATCATTTTGTTTATAATAAATAATCTCATACTTTATGCAAAATTTAAGCAAAATTTTCGACCAGGGTATTTTTGCTGAAAATATTTAACGAAAGAATCGCCGTCTTTATGAGTGATCTATTTTTAGTTAAGGTCACCGTTTATCAGAACATTACATCAGTCAGATGTTTATAATTGTGTTGGGAAGAAAGGGAAAACAGGTGTTGCGTTGACGCAACGTCAGCAGGAAACAGGTAGTCAATCTCCTTTTTGACTCATTGCTTTCGATGTTCTGGTTGTTTAAAAATGCCTAGAACGAGGTATCTTACATTATAAAAAGCCCTTCAAAGATTTTTTGATGAAGAAACAGATGATGCTAATGTTAATAGTGACCAGAATGAAACTGATATTGTTGTTGTTTCCCCAGAAATTGCAGAGGCTAGTGACGAAGAAGAAAGGAATGGGAATGTTTTAAATAATGATAATGATATTTTACCAAATGATACTGTTGGGAAGTTGAAATTCACGTAAGAAGTAAGTTTCAACTTTCTAAAAGCAGTCATAGTCATACTAAAAAGTTTAAAAAGCAGAAGACTGAAATTTTGAAGTGGATAAAAAAGGAACTGTTAGTTATGTCTCAGGAGAAACATGAAGAAAGAAGAAGAAAAATTATAAAAGACAAAAAAAAAAAAAAAAAAAAAAAAAAAAGCAGCCCAGAATTTATTGCATCCGAAGTCTATATGAGACGATTTTATTGGAATATTATTACTTATATCATTCTTTACCTCAAGAAAAAATGTATTGGTCTTTTGATAAGGACATTTCTGTTCCTGTTGTACGAGAATAGATAATCACGTTTGCAGTGCAGGAATATGAAGCAGAATTTGCATTTGGCAATAGTCAAATTGGCAATACTGATAAATTATATGAGGTGTGACCGTATCTAAACTTACTAAATATCACCACTTTTTACTGCTGGAAATATAAAGTCTCTTTTAGATTTCAGACGCGAGAATGCATTATTTCTTTTGCAAACTCCTATTGAGAGTGTAGAATTAGCCAGAAATAGATCAGCAACAGGAAGACCTAGTAAATTCAGCATTCAAAAACCATTGCATGGAGATGGTAGACATTTTATCGTAAAGTCCGTTTATAACAAAAGACTTTGTTGTAAAGAGTACCATAGCCAGACTGTTTATAGATGCAAAGTATGTAATGTAGCTTTACATCATGATCGTAATCAAGCTTTTCATGCTTGAATCTTTCAAATGAAATAATCCGTATTTTTAAAAGAAATACAATCTATATTTTAATATTAAATTAATTACAAGTAAAGTGAGTTGCAGATTTAAAGAACATTATACAGCTAAAAAGTCCTGCTCTCCGCTCAAAAGAAACATCACACGAGTACAATCCTACTCACTAAACATTCGTAGTCTTATTCCGCTGACGTTGCGCGAACGCAACACTCGCTTTTTCCACAGGTTAGAGCATTTTGTTTTATTTTCAATGTAAATTTATGTTATAAATACTTAATTTAATATTTGTTATTTATTTTCATGAGAAAAGAAACATTCCTTCTAGTTTTGGCGGTTAATCGGTTAATGGAAAATAAGTTTTTTGAATTTTAAATTGTTAGTATTACCCCCTTCCTTGCATTTAATTCCCTAACAATACCACTGAATTTTTCTCCATCGATAAGGCGACACAAGCTTTATTAATGACAGAAAATAGCGCTAAATGTGAAACTTACCTCACAGAGAACTCTGTAGCAGTCTTGAGCTCTGTAGTGTGTCACCTAACGCAGAGAGTTGCTGCAATAAAAATGGTAACTTGAATCATAGTCAACACGTTCGCAGAAGAAACAAAACGTGTTGATCTAGAAGTGGATGCTGCATCGTTTTGAACAGCGGCATGTTTCTCTCCTGAAATAAGAATAAATTGAGTTTTCATTACTTTAGTTTGGTTTGGCTTGCATCATAACAAAGCAGACGAAGGCGTCTGCTTTCGTAGTAAAGAAAAACCGTGTGGTCTTCATGGGGAACTAATTATCTATGGCGAACTGATTTATAACCCCTTCGCGCCGACTGTCACTTATACGTGCCAGCAACGAACACACTTATCTACCGGCCGACACGCAGGCGTGCCAGAGCATTGTTGCATTATCTACCGACTGTCACGTATTTGTGCCAGTACCTTGGAACATTTTTCAAACTATAATTTCTGCCACAAGATGGCACTGTATGTCTATATGGTTTCAGATACATGTGCATTAGACCTTCTACTTGAAATGAGAGAAGCATGACTCACATACACGTACGATTATATAAACAAACGATTATATAACCACATACGATTATATAAACAAACGGGGAACTAAATGTTTCCGAATGGCGTGATTTATGACGTCTCTTTAAATCGCACTTTATTCGCACGTGGTAGTTGTTTATTGTAAGTAGAAGTTTTATATGCGCTAAAGCGTTGAGTATTTCCGTTTACAGTTCAGTTTTTAGAAAATAATTAGATCTTGTTAGACGTGAATTCTTTCTGTTTTTACCGTTTCAATGTCGAAGCGTCGAAAATGTTTAACAGAGCATGAAATAGCAGAAATGATGCAAAATATTTCAGATATTGATTCTGAAATTCTGATATTCTGATATTGATTCTGAAAGATTAACTGAAACACATTTTCCAAAACTTTGTTCAGAAGAGACTGATAAGAAAATGAGACGACGATGCTTCGTTTTGTTCACATTCCCGGAAAAATCCTCCAAAACGGCAAATGAGTTATTACGAGTTCAAGGAATGTAACGTAGGACTGTGTGTAGATCCCTGTTTTAAAATTTTTCATACGAAAAGAGAATTTTAAGTAATATATTTAGTTTTCAGATTATAATGTTAAAAGCCATAAAATGGTGAGTAATTAAAATAAAATGTGTAAAATATGCATTTAAACAAGAAATAAGGTAATTAAAGTATGTATATAAAAATATCTATAAAGCATAAGCCGTTTAAATACTCTATAGAGCATTATTAAACAATGCGTTGATACTTCGGAAATTTCATGGATTTAGGCTTAGTAGCAAAAAAGGCCCCGGCCCTGGAGAGACGCTAGCGGAAGACAATGCCGGCCTCCGCGATAAGCGCGCGTTTTCGCTACCCGGCTCGAAGGGGTTTTAATCATAATGCACTTGAGAACTATTAAATATAGTCTGCCTGTTGAATTATTAGGACTAAGAACTCGAAATGAAATATCAGGCTGTATCCACTCAGCTATTAGTTTACTTTTTTTTTTTTTTTTTTTGGTTTTTTTAAAGCTTTGAACTACATGATAGTATCAAGTTATGGGAATTCTTTCACAATACAGTTTTAAACATGCAGTTTTAAAAAGTTTTCTAAATGCTTCGGATTTTTATCCTTAACTTTGCAAGTTTAGTTGCGGGGCAAAAGTTTAAAACTAACAAAACGCTGTAGATATGAATGGTAAAAGAGAAAATCATAGCATAATAATAAATCATGCTTTAAGCTTAGAGCTTGTGACTAAAACTGGATAACAGCATTCTTAAACGATCTTGAAATAAAAAAATCGGTTAGATAATGTCACCAATACAATAACAACTTTAAAAGTTCTGTATTGATTGAGAAATCAAAATAAGGAGCAAAATCTTCTTAAATATTAAGTTCGAAATTATAAAACTTCACATTAACTTTTTTTCCTGTAAAGTAGAAATACAGATTGTATTCGTTATAATATATTTTTTAACTGACATCTTGTGGCATAGCGCGTGTTTCGGATTTTACAGTTCACGCTCTATATTTTCGAAAGTAGCTTTCCAGGTAAGAAGTAAACATAGGTAATGTTCAATTATAGGAAAAATAGTAATTTAGAATGCAGAAATCTCTTAGTTTCCTTATTAAAGTGAAGACGACTATAAATAATGTTACAAAGATTTCTTGCTCGAACTTTTCCTACTGTTTTCCATTCCAAAATGTAAGCAGCAAACAAGCAGCGTTAGGCTTAAATGATTCCTAAAACAAAGGACTGAATAAAATGCCTAGAATACAAATCGTGTTGTCAAAGTAGACGCGTACAGGAAAAAGACCCAAAGTTTAATAAGAGCAAGCACGCGTATACAGAGTAATCAGCTGAAACTGTACATATTAAAAGCAAGATTGAACTAAATATATTAAAGTCGTCCCGTAAAGATAATATTAAGAGAGCTACTAAATGTGTTCTGTAATATAATGTTGTAAACTAAACGTTGTAAATGAAACTTTTACGACATTTGATTAATTATTCTTATTTCTTTATTATTTTACTTAGATTTTTCGAAGGCATAGTGAACTCGTCAGGATTTAAATCATAAATCTTCCAATAGTAGTTGGATGTACTAACCACATACAGAACGAAAAACCTCAGGCGCAAATGCAATAATTTCCCATTTGATCCTTCAGTTAAATGGAGAGTGGGGCAAACTACAAGGTACAACTAGCCAAATCCAGGTGGCGACACTCACTAGACGTGTTTACATACATTTTAGTTCGGGCGGTACTATAAAAACAATATAAATTTTTCCCGTAGCCAGAAAACTGGAGAAATCAATTAAGCCCTCGCCGAGATTTGAACAACCTATTTTTCAAATCGAATTAAGCATGATAACCACTAACACTGCGAAAATAGCAAGGGGAAATCTGAAAATTCATTAAAGGGCATAAAATAATTGATCAAATTTACAGCCTAACGAAAAATATAAGGTATGCATGTATACCTTGCACCAAAGGAAAAAAAAAAAAAAATGGGGGTCGGGGACAGTTTTGTATCTCTCGTTCTACTGGGTCGATGCATGAAATTTAACTTGCGTTTCTCTGGTCTCGAAAGCGTGATTTAGGATTTGTATTAGATTTATATGTAGTATTTTTCTAACATAGGTATTTTAACACAAAAATCGAATTCTTTCTAAAAATTTAACTTGGCGCATATTTTTCAGTGTGCGATAAGTATAATTCACTTGGCGAAATTTTTAATTTATGGTAACCTATTTCCCTTTCCCTTCCGTTGTGTATGAACGGAAAAATGTGTATCTTTTATTTTTTCAAATAATTTTAACAAAGTGCGTAAACCATATTTGGCTTTATTATCGCTTATAACAAATATGCCAGCTTTCAAAACGCGCCCATATATTAAGTTTGCTTATATCTTGAGAAATTTTCAATAAATAACTGTAATTTTTTGTAAGTATGCCTAGAAATACATCTACTTTAATCTACTTAATTTAAACATCTACTTAATTTAAAGAATAAATCAGGAAATATCTCCAAATTTTATTTGGATTGAAACTAAATTTTGAACTATGAAAGAAGGAAATCCAGTAAGTGTAATAAAAAGGAGATATTAATAAATATATACCAAGTTGAGGAGCTAAAATTTTTAGAGCTACTTTTTAAAAACTACTTGTGCGATTTTTACAAAACTACGCATTTTGGCATAATTTGAGCCGTAGAATCGAATTATGGAAAAAAATATGCATGTTATTTTAGAAAAAGTCGGATTTGGGATCAAAATACTTATGTTAGAACAATGCCGTATATAAATCTAATATATATCCTAAATCGCTCTTTCGGGACATCAAAAACGCAAATTAAATTTCGCCAATCGACCCAGTAGAATAGGAAATGTAGAAGTCCCCCCCTTTTTTGTGCAAGGTGTACGTTAGTTAATTGCAAAGCAGAAGGAAAGAACATTTTTAAGGATTTCTAAGTATTGGTTTATATTAAATAATAATAAAATTAAGAAGATTACTCTTATTACATCTCATAACTATATAAATAAGTTGTTTGTAACAAAGATAGAAGTAGAATATGTGACTATTTTTTAATTGAAGAAGAGAAATATATTTGGACTTACCTCTCAAGACATGGACAAATATACTGGCGGAATCAGCATTGGAAGGACTGCAAGAATAATTGCCCGAGTCAGAAGGTTGTGCATTCTTGATTTTCAACCTGCTGATGACTGTGTCGTTTCCAGCTTTCTGTACTGTAATATCTCCACGTTTGGTATCATAATTGATCATTACTCCATTGTGGTACCAGAAGACGTAAGCTGGAGGTTCTGGACAATCGGTTATAACACATGTGATATTCGCATCGCTCCCTACACTCACATAAAAGTTTTCACCACCCACAATTTTCGTTTTGGGCACTACATAAAAAGATTTATATTTATTAATTCATTGTATCTGTGAAGTGTCTAATTTAACAGTATACACAAGAGATAGCGCTAAGTTGAAAATAGTAACATTAAACTAAAGAAACTACATCAGCTCCATTTTTTTAAACCCCTTGCATGTATTGGGATAGAGATTTATGAAACTGCGATAGACAAACATGCAAGTTATACTCAAAGATTTAAACATTTTGATTTCATATAATCAGCCAAACGTAAATATAAGATATCGGTGCATTAAAGATGAGATAACGAGTCAAATAACAGTAGATACATATACAGAAAAGTAATTATTTACTATTTTAAATTTAAAAAAAAAAAAAAAAAAAAAAAAGGTGAATGTGACATAAAGTTGACCAATTCGATCAAAGTTAATATAATAGATTTAAACTAACTTTTAAAATTAATTTTTTTTCATCTTTATATTATAATTTGCCTGTATTGTTTTAATTTATAATGGTAAATAAATACATTAAATAATCTTAGCAGCAGTTGTGCAGGATATTATTTTGTAAGCTTAATTTGCACAATTTTTTCAATTTATATATATATATATATATGAAATAATAGTAAGGACAAGCCGGAGCACTGTTGATGCGTAATACCTACCCCGATAGGATAGATCGTCGATTCATATTGAAGAGGAAGAATTCTGATTGCGTTGTAAGCTAATACATTGAGTTCGTAATATCTACGAAACTTGGCAGTCGAGGCAGTTTTAACTGTCATTTGTGGCCGTAATAACTTGGCATTCTAGTCGTGAATATTCACAGAACATTTACATTTTTGATGCTTTTGCGATACTAAGAAAATACAGAGGAATTACGTCCTTGCATTATAGATAGAGAAGCTTAAGTGGGTAGTTATCCACTATGAAAGCACACGAAGGGAAAGGTTTTGGTTTGAGTTAAAAGTTTCGATTCCCAATTATTACGTCATCAGCGCTGCGCAGGCCATGCAAAATGGAATGATCTAGAAATGACGCAATAAAGAGAAGTTACTACGATTTTTAAAAGAGAGAAGAAGAATTAAAGAGTTTACGTTAGTTTAAATTATAATTTTGATTCACGTATCTTTTATCTTACATATGCCCCCCGTCAAAGAGGAAAAGGTTTGGCGACATAAAAGTCTATTTAGAAAAAAGCATTACAGAATTAGCGAAACAATTGAAAATACAATTGAGGGGGGAAAATCATACAATTTGATATAAAAGATTTTTTAAAACAAAAAAATGTTGTAGATATGATTTTTAACAATAAATTCAATTTGAAATTCAATTTGAAAATTAAAAATCTTCAAGTTCATCTTTCTGTAAAAATACTGCAAAACTGTGGCAATTTTTTCCAACAGTACCTGGAAGAGTTCACTGTCCTGTAAAATCTTTACTTGAATATTAATCATAATCAATATTTTGAAGTCAATTTGAATTATTATTGTAACATCGGCACTATTATTGTATTTATCAATATGTAAATGTTAAATAGGTACTGCACCAATGTTCTGTTTCTATACTTTGCCGTAAAAATCATGGGCACCAATGCAGTGTTACTACTTCCTCTTAGGGAGGAAACTAATGCAGAAACAGACAGGTGAAACCGCAACTAACTAAAAAAGCAACTGAGAAACTAAACTCTTAAGAGTTTGCTAATTACCAAACCTTTAGTGATCGTATAAGTGAATTTTTAATGCATTGCGTTGTGAAAATGCATCCGGGACCCGCCGTGAGAGGATCGAATAAACAACATGTAAAAACACATAACAGATAATTTCTTAAGACACAATAACACGCCGAATAAATACTGATTCAGAAGTCAAACAACAAAAATCAGCGTTAATTCACAAAATTTTCACTGTGAAAATTTTGTGAATTAACGCTGATTTTTGTTGTTTGACTTCTGAATCAGATAATTTCTTATTTGTGTTACCTTTTAATTTACTTATTTTAGACACAGGGGAATTCTTCAATTTGTCATTTACTTTTTGTTACATTTAAATTCATGATTTGCAAATCTATTAAATGACTCTTTTAATTTAACGGGTACCCGATCTATAATTTCTAAGAGGTTAAGGAAAACATATTATTTGCAATTCCCATCTGTTCTAAGGAAGATTGCACATACAACTTAAATTATTACATTCTTATTCATATAAAGACCTTCTTAAGAAGGGGAAAAAGGAAGCAATTCAGTTTCAGTAGACTGAATTTAAGATTCAATTTTAGGTAAAGTTCCAATTTCCAAAAGTTCTAAGGAAAATTGATAAAGCATTTATCTGTGATTATGACGACTTGAAACGCACCCGGAAAAGTATTGGGCTTGCCTTGCATTCTGGGAGAAAATTCAAAGGGTTATAATTCCACCATAATTCCTAAAAAATTCATTCCGTAAAGGGAACACAGGCGTCTAAGGAGTCTCACGCTTTTCGGTGCCACTAGCCGCAATTCCTAATAACCCTGAACTCCATTCCTTTTTCGGCAACACAATCCGCTCGCACAGCCTTGCAGAAAAACAAGCCCTCGAACCAGCACCCGAGCAGAATCTTCAAGATCGCAGTCAGGATGTCGAGTATAAAATCTCACGTTGGCCGGGGTGAAACTTGGCCAATAATTTTGGAAATTCACTGGATCATTTTTTTTTCCTTTTTGACAGCAAAGCGACGGCCGGATAGTGTCCGCCACGATCCGCCTTAATACCCTTCTGTCGCATACTTCCTGTCCTAAGGTCAACCGCACAATGAAATTCTTAAATTCTTTCTAGAACATTCTAAAGGACAAAGCGCGCGAAATCATGACTTAGCAAAAATTGCCTCCCCTGCTTCTTTTCACAATGAATCAAAGCTTGTACAAAAATTGAAAATAAAAGAAAAATAAATAATATTCTTTTAAACTAAATAATATTCCCAGAAGCATCTGTTTTTCCCCAAAATTAAAGCATTAAAATAAATAATTCAGAATCAAATAAAATTAAGATTTCCATAAATCAGAAAATCATTCACCTAGTTTTTATAACGCTATCACACAAATTCTCTACACAACATAAATTATGTATACTATATTTGTTTAATAAACGCCGCTGATCGCCGAGCCACTCCCGAGGCTGGACATAAAAGTTGGTAGATGATTCTATCAGTTGAGCATAAAAGCTGAATGTCTTGAAAGGCGGTGCAGCCGCTCATCTGATGGTCTAATCTAGTCTAATGCATAATGATTAGGAAGCAGGCAGCCTAGACATATTATATCTTCATTTTTATTTCAGTAAGCATATGTTGCGGCCACTAACAACTTGGCTAACTATTCGTGCCTATTTTTCCAAACGTTTATTTTTTGATAGCTTTACAGCGAGAAAAGAGCAACAGTCCAGCTAAACAAAGTGTAGAAAGCAAGTGTGCTGTGTTCAGGATGAAATCTGCATTTTGACTGAGTTTTGTTTCTCAATGCATTTTGATTGGATAAATAATACTGTTGTAAAATTATTATTGGCTATTTTTTTTACTTTACCTCCCCAGCGTTATGCAGGAGTCATACAACGCGGATTAGTCTTGAAATGACGCAATGCATATAAGGTTACTATTTTTAAATAGAGAGGAAATGCTAAATTAAGTATTAAGGGGCTATTGCTAACTTAAATTGTAATTTATCTTTTACATAATCTTTATCTTACACATATATGGTTTTTAGTGTGCATATTGACGGTGTAACGGATATATATATTATATCATCCCTCTAGTATTTTTAGCACATTAATTCATAGACATGAGCTTCATATAATTTTCTTCAGCTGACGATACAATATTACTTCTCTATTTAACGCTACTTTAAGCTCATTGAATTTCGAAGTATAACATTATATAAATTCAGTACGCAAGAAAAAAAAATTTAAAGTCATGTCAAGATATTATTTTAATAAGGTATAAAACGATTACTTTTCATGATAAGTATAGATATAAAGATTGAATGAGTGGAACCATTTTAATACATTTATGATGCTGCAAGTATATCATCTCACAGTTAATTTCCATGCATATTTCTTCATTTGGTTCAGAGATATCTAATTTTAGTCCTGGCAGTCGTAAATTAAGTTCTGTAATGCATGGGAAAAGATTGGTTTAAGAATAAAAATGTTTCTTTCTTCTAGTAAAATGACAAATATATAAGCTTGTCCATCATTTTCTATCGTTTTTTCGTGTTTTTCAGTTTCACTTACTTACAACTTTCTTTAAAGGAAATCCTTTTGCTTTACAGGTATCAAAATTATTTTATTTCAGTTTTTTAGATTCAATCCAGCCAATATCTAAGTTACAAAATGTACTAAAACCATACTTAAAAGGAAATTTTTTACCATAACTTAAAAGAAAGATTTTTTATTTATTGAACAAAATGTTCAATAAATATAAAATCTCTTATTCGTTTGAATTTATATTAAGCTTATTAATTTTATGTAAAGGAAAAATATAATTCCTTAAAACTAATAATTTAAAAATATATAGAAATAAAAGGATTTATAATAACATACGCTCATAAAAATTAAGAAAACTCTTCATTAAATTATTCATTGCATTTTTAAATATAGTATATTTTTCTAGAGAAGAAAAGACGGAACAAAAGAAAAAAAAAAAAAAAAAAAAAAAAAAAAGAACGTATGTTAAGGGAATTAGAATTTACCTCTTTAAATGAAGGGCTATTATTATTATTATTATTATTATTATTCAGTGAAAAATTATTATTTTTTATGTCAATTCATTCCGTTTCTTTCGTGAAAGACATGCATAAATTTTTAAGAAACATAATTACTTTTTATATATGTATTCTTATTCTTACCGGATATAAGCTTAATTCAATTAACAAAGTCTTATATTTTTATATTTTAAGACTGTTCCATTTGCTTTCTAAAAGCTAATAATATTAAGCCGATTTTTTATGCTTTTCTATTTCTAAATTTAAAACTTTCTCTGTGAACATTTTTTAAGGATTAAAACTTAATCCAAATCCAAATTTAAAAAAAAAAAAAAAAACCTAATATTTTTTAATTCTTAAATTCTCTGTGAACATTTTTAAGGATTAAAACTTAATCCAAATAAAAAAACTAAAAATTTTTAATTCTTAAATTTTCTAGTGCATTCTCACATGAAAAACTGGCAGCGAAAGAAAAAGACTCGATAATTCAAAATAAAATTTTAAATCAGGACTAAATACTATGATAAAATATTTCTAAGAACTGTAAGATAATAAGAATACCACAATATTAATGCACTATAAATTTAAATAAACAAAATCTGAATAATATACCTGTACAAATATTATATTTAAATGAAGATATGAATAATAGGCTCATAATTAATTTACTCAGTTTTAAATGCAGATGTGAACAATTTTCAAACAACAGATCTATTTTTGCTTCTTCAATTGAAATGTCTTTATAATAGATATAAGATGAATTTAAACATTAGCGAACACTTACCGAGAACTTTGAGGTAGACATAATGACTAGCAGGGGGATCTGAGCTCACTTGGCATTCATAAAGGCCTTCATCAGAGAGCTGAGGAAATTTTATTTGTAAAGTCCAGTCAGTAGAGTATTCATTGTATATCGTTTGGAATCTCGTATCACTTGTATATGTATACAGCCCCACAGTAAGCAAATGAAAATCCCTAAGTCTTATCCAGGAAACCTATTGTAGGGGAATAATCAAAGGACATATTTTGACAAATTTATTATGTGTTACATACTTAACTTAAATCAAAAGTAAAATTCATTAGCTGACAAAAATATATGAGTTTGCTTTAAAATTTAGAAAAAAAATACATAAACGAATAAGTTATAATATGAATGTTATTTGAATATAATCATTAAAAAGTAAAACAACAACATTCCAAATTAAATATATCGGCTATTTTAAAGATGTGGTGCATACGCTAAAATAACCAACCTAATAATGATATATCAGAAAAGACAGTCACTTCCAGAGAAAATTGTTAATTGTTTCAATCGCATAGCATTAAAAATCGACAAAGAGTTAAAATTTTTCATTAGATATGGAATTAAATTTTGAAAACTCTTACGAATACGGATGCAGTCACAACAAAAATTATTCGCAAAACCATAACTTTGTTATCAATTACAACAAAAATTGAAAAAAAATATTATAAATCTAAATATCATGCATCAAATACAGCATTCTTATAGAAAAATCAAACCTTTCTATCTCTCTATTGTATCAAAAGGTTCTTTGGCTTGTTTTGTTCACGATTTGACTTAAAGCATCAATAGAGCCATTTAAATAAAATAGGTATGATATTATCTGCTTGTATTGTCACTCATAACAATGGGCATTTTTTAACAGGATTATAGTCTGCAACACACAACAAGAATGTCACAAAAACATTGCCACATTGTCATCAAAGAATTTGTTACCACCATTTCGCTACCTACTCGATCCCCAATTTTCTCAGAAACTGTTCATGTCTCGGACAACCCGGAACGGGAAGTTGGCTCTTTGGTTGGGCAGCCTAAGAATTTGACCGAACGGCGCTTAAAATAAATGTGGAAAGCGATTACGCAGGATACCATACGAAACTGCATGTCTCGAAGTTCGCCCCTATCGCATCGTGTAATAATGCTAGAGGTGAGCCAACATGATACAAAACTTCCTTTCTTTTGTAATTAATTTTCTTTATCTTTGATTTTTACTTCCTTGTACGAAGTAAAAAGGAAGTATTGTAATCGCGAAAAGCTTCAGGCAGCATATTTCAACGAAAATATCCACTTTGACCGCTTTCGAATGCAATTTAACGATGTTTTTCCGTCATATCTGTACGTAAGGACAGAATAAAAGACTCTTTTCCTCCAAAAAAAAAAAAAAAAAAAAAAAAAAAACTGCTTTAAAATGAATTCTGAAGAGAATTTTTCGTGGCGTCTCTACGAACGTGTGTACGTACGTTATCTCGCATAACTCAAAAACGAGTAGCCTCAGAACGTTGAAATTTTGTATATAAGACTACTATAACATGTAGATGTGCACCTCGTATTTTGGTTTCAATCGGCCGCGCCAAGCGTATATAAATATAATTATAAATATATCCACTCTGTTACTCGGCTCAGTGATCTCAGTTTCTTTACTCTTATATGTTTTGTAAATTGTACATTTTTTGCTTTAAAAAAATGATTGAATTATGTTGTTTTTTATCTTCCGGTTAAGGGTTTTATGCCTTTAGTAAACCTGTATGCAATATTTTTAGAATTATCAACAATTTTAGAAGTTGTTTAAGTGCCGCTAAGCCTAATTGAGCTTGCGATGGCGTGCCATTGCTCTTGTTTACATTTTAACTTGGAAACAGCTGAGTTGCGGATTTGTTGCCAATCTAGAGAAACTGAGCTTCGCCAACAACAAAGATAACGCCTTCATTTTATTATTGCGAATGAAAATCATGCTTAATCCTTTCTGGAAATTTTTTCGAGGAAATAAGTGTTTAAGATTTACTTCGTAATTTTTAATACAGATATTTTAGTTTTTATGTATTTTTGCCTTGTCGCGGAAGGTGAAAACTGAATTAATTGAATGAGAAATACTCAAATCGTCTGTGAAAAAAAAAACTGTTTCTTTTGTTTGTTTGTTGTGTTTGCTTAATTTCTTTAATAGATTGTTCTAGCTTTATTATAGTATTTGAATAGAACATGTGGCAACGATTAGATAATTCTTTAAATGATATAAATTTTGTGCATTCTGAGTTATAATATGAACGAAATATAATACTGTTAAGTAAACCTAGCTCCAGAGTGTCGCTATGGTAAACAAAGTGAATTTTAAAGAATGCATTTATTCTATTGTGGTTTATGCGCTGTCGGCGAAGTACGTTTAATTCAATCTAATAAGTTTAAATAAAATGCAAGAAAAAATGCGTATAATTTAATATTCCGTACAAGGAAGTCATGTGGTGTACAGATCAGATTTTTTAATTATTCACTTAAACAACGTTTCGCTCACAAATATGAAATTTCATTCAATTCCAACAAATCTTCCTTGCTTTGCAAATTTTATATCAGTAAGTATTTGTAAAATTAACATAAAACTTGCAACTTTAAAAATTCTAAATGTGTGCTTAATTTAATCACTATTTTTTTCTTTTCTTTTTTTTTTTTTTTTTTTTTTTTTTTTTTTTTTTCTGTTTTCTTGCATTTATCATTAAAATAAAACACTTAAGGCTTAAATTTTAGGAAAAAACGGGAAAAACTAAGAGGTCAAACAAAAACACATTCGCATGCAAAAAGTGTTTGTTAAATCTTTCGAAGTTAATTAAAACCACTCAGTGTGCCATTTCAGATCAAACAAGCATTCAATTATTTAAGCACAAAACGAAGAAAAAATTAAATACCTTTCATTAATTTTTTTTTTTTTTTTTTTTTTTGTGAGTCGCTTTACGAAAGCGCTCCTAGGTGCTCTCGCTTGTGGTTTGAATGCTCTTTGACATTGTAGGTAGATAGACTTGGGGTGCGCCCTCGATCAGCCTTTGAATTCTAAGTAGATTTCATTTGAATAGCATAGATGATTTGGGGATAAGATAAAATTATAGATATTCTAGAATTTAACTATTAGTGTTTTCAACTCACTGAAGTAAATGCATCTCATTATCTTGAGGTAAAGATGATTATGCAAAATACACAAATAAACATACATACAGCATTTTAAAACATAAAATTAGGAAAAGATAACCTTAAACTGGTGAATATTTTACATAAAATTCCCATCGAATTAGCGTGTGATTGACACAGGTCAACTCTTCCTCAAAGAGGGAAAAAAAAAAAAAATACACTTCATCAAGGATAACAAAAATGTAGCAAAATCTTCTTGCTATGTTTCATTTTCGTGATCTACGTCGACATTTTTTCGGACAGTACGAGAAATAATGCGTGAAATCATAGCATCATTTAAATTCAGACACAGTGTCTTTGTTATCTGTTTTGTAGTTTAATAGCTTATAAACATTATAGTTCGTATTTGCTGCTGCAAAAACACATTCATTTTCCGTTTACCCACTACTTTTCATGTACTAGCCCCTCTTCAATCAGTATAATCTTGACTAAATTCTATAGCCTTCATCGTTCTTAGCTGAAACCACCTATAGCCTACAGCCACTCTTCGTTATTTTCTTCCCTATCAAACTCAAAGTCATATCTCAATCAAATATCAGATTTCAGAAAGAAGTTGCTATTTTTTGTCATCCTTCATACTGTATATTGTAACTCAATCATTTGCATTAACATTAAGCTTGCTTTTAACTTTATTCTAAACCTTAGGAATGAAATTTAGTGCATTTTCTCTAAAATGTTACAGATTTTTCATCTTTTTGAAATATTCCTTGCAAAAACCTAATGAGTTGGCGCACGAATAATTCATTAAGCACATATTCTGTGAATGGAGAATCTGACGATTAGTACAAGTTCTGCACTTTATAAGTTGTTTTCTGCCTTCTTACTGCATGTCTTCGTGGTGTAAGCGGAAAGTATGCCCGGCTAGCAGTCGGAAAGTCCGAAGTGGGCCCCGGAGAGGGCAGAGCATATTCCTTACCTTTACTGACTTTGAAAAATTCTAAAAGACTCTACAAAAAGCGCCTGAACTAAAAGGTGGTGGACGATAATTCGTCACCATTACATTTGGCGATTGGGTCTTCTGTTACCCGATCGTCTTTAAAGTGTATGGGGGATGTAAGGCATTTTCTCTGTCTTACCGCATACCTTCATGGTGTTATTGGAAAGCACTTCTGGCTAGCAAGAGAAATGTCCTGACTCTGAGTCTCTTCGAGGGTTATTCTTAATTTCGTAATGCCTAAGTAATGCATTTATCAAAATTATATTCATAGATAGCATTCACTTGAACGTAGGATATACTGATAGCATCGATGATAAAATAGTATTTATTAAGTCACTTTTGAGATGCCAGTCCATTTTGGCTAATGAATAAAAAATTATATTCGATTTCGACGATTCATTTCTCAATGGGCGTCTGTTGTATTAGGCAAATTTTGTTAATTTTTCAGTTATAAAGTAGGGTCATTATGTTATTTTGATGAAGCAGGAGATGCGAAAAATGTCGAACCTGGACTTCTCGAATACGTCCCGAGTATGCTACCATTACACCACGAAGGCATGATGTATGGAGGGAGAAAATACAATATAACTAAACATTTAAAATCAAAAAGTTATCTAATTCTAACTATATATATATATTTTACAGGAAATTTCTATCTGTAGGAGATAATATTCATGAAAGTACTCTAAAATTAATAAAGTACAATACAATCTCTCATAAATTGAGCTATTATGATTTTAATTTCCGAAATATATAGAAAAATATATTTCAGGTTTTTTACCTGCGTACCCAAATAGGAATCAATGTTTAGACTTAATAGATAATAGCTATAATGCTTAGACTTAATATAAATTTTAAATTCTGATTAAGTAAGGACAAAGAAAAGACTTAAATGATTTTGTAACGAGTTTCTGAACTAGCATTCAATTTAAATACAATACAAATCCAACTGTCTAATGTATAATTGAAGCAAACTAGAGATTCCTTCTTAGATTACACCAAAACAAAAATCCTCTTGATTCGAAGAGTCGAATAAAACACATAAAAATAAAAACTGCGCGATTCAATTAAATCCTGACCATTAG